CATTTTATTCTGCTAAAACTGTAGTTCTTGCTTTGTTCGAATTCATTAAGGGGAATAAATGTATGTAATATTCCTGAAATATTTCACAAACCGCATGACAAAGTTACTGTGAGTAACCATATGTATTTTATGAAAAATTTCATTAGTCAACTGGCTCATTTAACGCGTACATATAAGTAATATTTAAGAAAAAAAAAGAATTCAATCTGAGAACTTATTCCTTCACTACTAGTAAGATAAAAGTTTAAAAGATATCAAATATACGTTTACCTGTTATAATATTTATATAAACCGCACTGAAATTGAGCTTCAACTGATTTCGGATTTAAACAAAGTACTTTTATAAAATCAGTATTTGAATGTTGAAACATTTTCAACTGAATTAAGTAATGTAGGGGAAAGAAAGAAATAATGAAATAAAGGAAAATATGATTTACTATCACCTTAATTACGTTTGAAAAGTGTATACAAAAAGGTAAATGAATGGTGAAGAGAAGTTTTACAGTCAGATGGAATGCTTACACTATGGTATCAATCGCTGTAATATATATTGATTCAATTCCTTCTAATAAACTCATGTTAACAATGACTTTGTGTCGACAAAGTGATTAACAGCACACTAGGGAAAATGTCCTTTCTACAGGTTTCTTTCAAAGTTGATGTTCCTGCTAGTAGAATAAAATGCAGACTGAATGATGCCCTGGAAATAAAACATATCCAGCCCCCAAGCTTGTATGGGTTTATCCAACAACCGGTCAAAAGTGGACAAACTCCAATCTCATGTTACCTCCAACTGTGTCTACAAATTTACATGTGAGTGCTAAAACATATACATTAGAAGAACATAGAGTAGGGTTATTATCCGGATTACGGAACATATGCATTAAACAGTGCAACTGCACACAATCTACTAGATACTGGTCATATTGTGGACAAACTGAAGTCGTTCGAAATAATCAACAGGCAAAAGAAACCTAGTCTGCTGAGGCAATAGTCATCAAAAGATGAAAACCAAATCTATGCACGAAGAAAGAAACAGTGGTGAATCTCGCACTGAAGTGGTGATGACAAAGTATGCAAATTTCACCACGCCATCTTTTCTGACTTTTGATTACAGCTTGATTCCACACAGTATTTTTTGATACAGGTATAGAATTTTCAGCATGTGATATCGGTAGCCCAAATTTTGCAGGCCAACCATAGGTATCAGGTGTGCGTCGGCAGGCGATCGAACCCTGGACCTTGTGTATGGTCGGCGAGAGTCCTAACCACTGTGCCACCTTCTGTCCTGTTTAGAAAACTTTATTCTTCGTCTAAACGTGGCACCCTACCCCGTTCATTTTTTCTCTGCTTTATAAAAACATATTTCCTGTGGTTACATTGCCTACTATTGTGGTACTATTTGTGATACTTGTTCCAGTTAAACTTTGTTTCTACCCAAAAGTTCTTTTGAACTCTGTCTTTTTGTTTCCAAGCATAGTCATAAAATGTTCCTATAAACATTCTATTCCTTTCACTCTTAATTATTCAGCAACTTACATCATTCTGGACGTTTTTATTATTCTTAGTTCCTGCCATTTACTCCTTGTCATGTTCAAATCTTAAATGTATTTTTATATTTTTGTATTGTCTAGGTTGTAGCCAGTTGAGAAGAACCCTCGAAATAATAAGAAGTTAAGCTCAAAATTTTATGCTGGTACGTTTGACGTTCTTGCCTTATTCAGGCTTCTAAAGACAACGGAGGCCTTGACCATTCATGACTTTAAGCCAACCAGACCTTTGTGTACAAAAGAAGTATTTACAATCCCTACTTCTACCTTGGCTGTAGAGAGATAGACATCTACCTATTTATTTATTTTGTCTTGGAATCGAACCCAGACCACTTCCAGTGTGGACAAAGAGAATTTTACTAATGAATTATCAATGTAGTTAGCATTAGTTCATGACAAACTCTACTCCAGAATGGTGAGAATCATAAAGTTTGCTCAAAAAAATCTGAAAATTAACTGATTACCTTAAGATAAGTATGAGCTCTTTTAAGATAAGCCAACTCATATGTAGGATTCAGTTGTATTAAATTTGTCCATACCTCAGCTTCCAGTTTCCAATTGTTCATGAGAGAATAGATAAAAGCTTTTGAATGAAGAATATTTTCATAGAATTGCTGAACGTTTTTTGAATATTTTCTCTTGCTACTAAAACCACCTGTAATAGTAGTATCGTTATTTAAATTAAAAATATTTTTTGTTAATTCCACAATATGTAAGCATTTCATGCATTGATCCAAATCGTTCAGTGCTTCTTCTAATTTACCTTCAAGTAAGTGTATAAAGTGAATATGCCAATGAGTAGATGATAAGTTCGGTTCATATTCAATCGATTTAACAAGATCAAGTTTTGCTTCTTGTAGTCTACCAATCTGCAATGATAACAGCAAAAAAATTGAACACATAAATACAATAAATATTGTAAAAGCAGTTAGCATAAGTAAGTTACCACTAGAAATTGTGTATTCTTTATCAGTTGCATATTATCAGTCATACTGAAAGGTAGATTGCTTACTCGCGTAAGCGAGCATTTGTCCTAGTGATATCAAGATATCAAAAAGTTTGATATAACTAACTAAGTATGTTATGTGGTGAGAGCTGTCTGCTAGCCGAAATTGGTAAACAGCAATTTACGTCAATGTTTACGTCCCAAATCTTGGTCATGAGAAGAAAAGATCAAAGACTAACCTTGAGGAACTCAACAACCAATCACAGTAGACTTTGTGTGGGCGGATGCGATTAGCAGGTATCTGGTCTGACCTTCAGAGAAACGGTCACAAAGAGATGACAGAATAACCTTCAGGGGGAAAATAACCAATCAGAAGACTCTGTCTCTCTTCTAATAATAACGAATCATAATGAACACAAAAATCTATAGATATCTGTTTTATATTCTCAATAAACGATCCGTTGGCTGGCCCTTGTCTTCTGTCGTTACAGTTATAGACTACGTACGGACATTATACTGGTACTGTCAAGTAATTCACAAACAGACAGAAAGATGCTTACAGTTAGACTTTATAATATTGGTCTCTCTTTGTATAAACGGAAATGGTGGTCAATTTGAATCTACCATGTTGGCATATATTACTTATTAAATGTCATTATCAATAAATAATATATTACTCCATGTCATATTATTATTATTCTTGATGTATTTAAAACTATATGTTGTCAGTATTATTAACTCAAATCGTTTCATTGTTATTATTAGTATTATTATTATTATTAAGTTTGCAATTCCTGACATTTCAGGACATCTCTTTGATAAATTACTAGTTATTATAATGATGTCACTGAACTGTAATCCATTATCATCTTGATTCTAATCTAGAATATCCTTTCCTGCTTATCTATCTGAAATTATTCAAAATAATGGTTACTGAGCAAAGAATATTCTTTTCGTTAACGCCTTCTTCATCAGGTTCTACAGTTATGTGTACATAATAGTGTACGTGTTATTGCTATTAACAACATTAGTGATGTTTTAATAACTTTGAATCAATAATAATATCAGTGGATTACAGTTTTATAGCATCAACATAACAATACACTGAATATCAGAAAAATTGTAAGAAATAATAATACAAATTCATGAATTTATCGTCGCCACCAAAGGCTGGCCAGGGCAGAAGAAATAGGTGGATTTGCTCCCTTTGCTCACAAACCAATGGTTGTTTCACGCGAATCGAAATAACCTCTGCTAGTTTTGGCAATTTATTTGCCACCCGGCAAATGATAGAGAAGGATCCTTCAATGCTGGTTGGCTTTGTAGCCGGCTTGAACCAGGTGGTTTAATATCGAACTGTTGATGGTTTTTACTACACCTTTTCTTCGACACACTGGTAGAAGTTCCCAAGCGAGCACAAAAAATTAGGTTCCTACAGCGACGGTCAATATAAATCTCTTCGCAAGCGCACTTGAATTGGTAGATAAAATTAGAAGTGGCTAGTCTAGGTACTTCATCTTTCAATTGAGAAATAGCCATCAGTAGTGTGGAAAATAAAACTTGTAGTTTGCCAGTATGAAAAGTTCTTTGAACTTCTTCGTAATTATTTCGCTAGGTGCGTCACTCTTAAATTGCAGCCATATATATAAAGGCTTCTTGTTTACGGATTGCGCATAGTCCTTTTCAGCTTTCTTAGTCATATGTTTTCTGATGACCTTGTCTAGATATCTATTTTCATTCAAGGTATCATATACAATCCTTATTTCATCTTCAGGTACCTTTTCTGAGGATATAACTCTAACTCTGTGACTGAGGGTACTTACTAAATTTCTTTTGTAGTGGAGAAGAATGAAGCTATGAAAATGTGTGTATCGTCTTGTTGATGCGCCTTTCCTGTGCAAATTCCTCTTTATATTCCCACCTGGTTTTCTTGTAAGGAGGACATCTAGGAAGAAAATGATTCTATTTTGGAACTCCTCTTCACGCGTGAATTTCATTGCAGAATGTACTTCATGCAATAAGTTATTATTATGCTCCTATACGAATAATTATCATAAAGAATAAAGGTGTCATTTATATACCGGCAATAAAATGAGAATTTTATGATAAAGTTGTTCCAAGGTCCATTTTCTAGTTTACTTAGAAAGAGATCCGCCAAAATGGGAATCAACGGGGAGCCCATCGCCACCCCATCCACTTGTCTATAAAGTGTGCCGTCAAATTTGAAATTTACATCCATGATACACCTTAATAACAATTCATTTAGGATTTCTTTTGGGATGCCAATATTTATCGACTGGTTATCCACTTGTTCACATATGTAGCTAACCATTTCTACGAGAGGTATCTATAGTTTTGCATGATGGACTCATTGTAGTTTATTTTCTTATCAGTCATATACAACTTAGTGTATTTCTAACAGTATATATATATATTCTGGTTCATTAATATTTATAAGAAACAAAATAACAGAGCAAAGAATATCCCCCTTTCGATAATTTCCTCTTCTGGCTCTACAATTATATGTATGTTTATTTACATAGAATATTCTAGATTAGTAGTCAATAACGATATTAGTGTTTTTCAAATAATATCGATTTGTAAAGTAAGATCAACGGGTACTTAAATTATAATAATAATAATATAATAGCAAATAGAATATCAACTAAAATTAAGGAAATTTCTACAACAAATTGAGGATCATTCAAACCCACATGGCCAAGGTAAAGACAATGTCTCAACTAGCTACTTTTTGACACATAAATTAGGCTTCTTGATGTGAATCCCAATGGCCAGTCTCAGCAATATTTAGTAGTCGAACTCTTAAAGCGAAGTTAAGGTTTCTTGGTATGCGGTAGATGACTTTGAAAGCTACCTCGTTGACATCAATCTTGTGTTCTGTATCCATAAGATGACGTAGAATAGCGCTACGAATAGATTTTTTTGTCCCTCACTTAACCACTATGCAGGGTGATGTTTGGAAATCCGCCTCAAATGAGTGTCTAGTTACTCATAACAACCCATCAGTAATAGGTAGCGTCATGATACTGACTTCCCTTGAAGAATTTAACCAAAGAATCGTGTTGATCTTTATTGTTTTAGAGTAATGATTAATAGATTACGATAATAATAATAAAAATAATAGTAATAAAATAGCTAGATAACACAATAAATAGAAAACAGTATGAGCATTACCTTTCTGTATAGTGCACCTCGACGGCATAAATCGAATCCCGATCCGTTTGAAAGATTTGTGTTGATTGATTGTGTAAGTCTTGCTATTTCCTCAGTGATGAGCTGTTAATAATAATGATAATAATAATAGTAATGAAGATGAAACAAAAAAGCGTCTGAAAGCGAAATATGAAATTTTTAAAAACCAGTATCACCCAAAACATCCACTCGATGAAAAAATACTCCTTATGCTTTCAAATAGTGCATCAATTCCAAATATGTATCTTCAGTTTAGGCATGATTATCGAAACTATAGAGGTTTTCAACGAGAAGAAACTTCACGCCTGCAGTTTGAAACCCTGTGTTCCACTAGGAACGTACAGGAATAAATAATTATAATTATTATTAATCCTTTTGGCTCCGAGTGGAATGTGAGATTTCGCCAACATATGTCATTTCCTTTTGTTCGCTGAAGTGTCTAGTAGCTGGCTCCACGAGTGACCATGAGCTTACACTTTCTCCTTATACGATATCCTCCATATCAAACTCGGAATAACACTCAACTAGTCTTTTCGCGCATGAGTTCTATATAAGGGCCTGGTGTGTGATGTCACTCAAATGTCTCCTCAGTGTATTAATCCAATTCATCTCCACTTCCTTTTTTATATTTTTTAAGTGATAAGTTCTTGGTTAATTCTTGATATAAGGATAAAACTTGGGCAAAGTGTCGTGGTAGAGTATAAGTCCATTATGGATAAAATTTTATTTTGATAAATCACACAGTGTAGTCATACAGTAATATTAACTGATGACCACCTTTCGAGCACAAACTATTACTGCTCATAATCATATCAAGTTACTCACACAACTTTTTTTCTTCATTTATATACATGAGTGACACTGATGATTAGACATTTGAGTAAAATCAATATAAGATAAAGTACATTCGGAAATAATTATATGAGTGTTATTAATCAAGTACAATCAGATGGGACATGAGATGTTTTATAGTCAAAATAAGTCACTAGTTAGAATGTTATAATGTATGTGAATTGAAATATAATTTTAAGATTATTCATTATCCTCCTCTGATTTGATTGACTGGTTGCAATAAGATCTTCCATATCTCTCGTATTTGCATTGGTTCATTTCTGTTGCATGTTTTGGGTGTAGACTCGATGAACCAGGACTCAGTAACTTAGAGTTTTAACCCTCTCCCACACACACCATTGTGTGGTTGTGTGTTAGTACATTCAGTAAGAGTGCTGAATTTTTCTCTAAATTATTTATCTTCACGACGTCAATCATTCTTACATTAGCTAAATTCTTATGATCTGATAATCTCACTACTCCTGATCTACTTGTTTGACATATGCAGTTGAGTAAACTCACAGTCATTGCAATGTATTTTGTAAATTATATTATTTTGTTCAGCTGGGTCCACCGGGTTTTTTTAACCTACAGAGTTTGTCCTACCTGAGTGAGTTTGTAGGTTTGAATGCCACCACCCTAATTCCTGCTTTATTAAGAATCCTTATATGGTAGAACTGTAGGTGCCTTATATTCTGTCTTATTTATACTATCACTAATAGTTTCACCATTAGTTTTATTTTGCTTTTGACCTTTCTTGATATTCCTAGTGAATTTTATAGGATAGTTTCATCAGAATTCCTTGTTGCTCATGTTTTCTTCAATATCCAGGCAATGAACACAGGTGTCGATGTTAGTCTGCAACCTGTTAGAAATGCTTAGCATGATGCGTATACCAAATCTTTGTACCGTACAGAAGCACTGATTGAACATTCGTATTGACACTTTATTGATTTATAACTCCAAGATATACAACACTGACAAAACATCCCAGTCCTCGGATATCTCTCGCCTCGTTGATCAGAATACAAAACTATTTGAATAAATTTGGTTAGATTTCATTATAAACCTAAAACCATTTTAAGAACTAGATAACCTTGGATAGTTGTCCTCTCCTATTTTGAGACTTTCTAGAATTCTGCGTCTAAGATAGAGTGTACTGCGGTTTCCACTGCACCCTAATTCCCACTGCTATTATTAGTTCAAATCTTCACGAGTCCAACATTCAACTACCATTAAGGACAAGGTGGTTAGGCATCGATCACATTTCTTCAGTTAAACGGCATACATGAACCAGCTCAGTAGTAATGCCCATAATTAAAGCAATCAGTGCCAACGTACTGTTCCACCTGAGTTTGTTGAGAATTTTACCTGATGAGCACCGATAAATGTGAAATGGATATTTCTGGTCTTCACATAGTCACTCTGAACAAGCCAGCATGAAATAACGGCAAAAAAAGAAACTTTTAGAATACTAAAAGAATGCACAAGTGTGCAAATACCATCAGCACAAGGGTAAGGAAATGTTCTGAGTAGGTTTCATTAGATGGGTATATTTATTCAGCTTCTTTGAAGATTTTATTGATCAACTGATTTGTCGATGGAAGTCTTAGCACGAATAAAACAGGCTCATTTCGCCATTTGCTAACTTGCATCAAGTCGAGATGTTTTTCTACTAATGAATGAGTCAATATACAATGCATCAAGTCCTTTTCTCCTAACTCAGAGTATTGATCCACAGCAGCTGCAGGGTGGAGGTACTAGATCTGGAAAAATTACAGGACGCTGAGTGTATATTCTTTTCTCCTGTTACTCATTTAAGATGAAATGGAACTCAGAATGTTATGCAAGCAAATCAGTCAATTATTTATTATTATTATGATTATGATTACTGTTTCCTTTAGTTCCTAGAGGGACATAGGGCTTCAGCTGCACGTTTTCATTGCTTTCGGTTCTCTGACAACATTTTCACCTGGCTACACGTCTGCCCACATGCTTTCATCTCCTCTTCCAACGACCTTATTCCCCATGTCACCCTCGCACTGACGACCAACTCGCTGCTTCCCACTCGGGTTCCACTCAAGCAATGGCCTGTCGTGTGATGTCACTTAATGGTTTGTTTTCTCAGATTACGGCCTCCATTCCACCTCCATTTCTTCCTCCATATTTGTTGTACAGTTGCTTCCTGGTCGGTTCTTTCATTGCCAGAGATCTCTCCCTATTGCCTATCTTTTCTGGCCGGCCATCAGATCTTGAGTAGGACTGAGCGAAGACAGCGCTTGATGAAGGTGTGTAGTTTGTTCGAGGTGCTCTTCATGACACGCTAGCCAAGTCTCTGATCCATATAATTAAGTAGCAATGACTTCACATTGGAGTTGAAAATCCGGATTTTATTTTGCATGCTAAGTTCTGTTGACCTCCACACAGACTTGAGAGTAATGAAAGCTTCCCTTGCTTTCCCGATCCTCCCTCTGATATACTCATCAGTTCCGTCCGCCTGTAGTTGAAACGATGCTTCCAAGGTCGGTCTGCAGGTAAAGGAGGTTGCCTCTTTCAAATTTCCCCCATTTATGCTGATTGTTGTCTGTTGTTGTTGCTATCGCTGTTGCTGTTGGCCAGGAATCTTCATCACGTCTGTTTTCTCTATATTCACCTGAAATCCATCCTAACTTTGATGCTTCTTCTGCTAACTTGCTGCTTTTCACTTTTATATCTTCCAGTTTGTGGAAAACTAGACATATATCATCGGCGAAGTCCAGATCCTCCAAATCTTTTGTGTGGGTCCATTTTATGCCTGTTTTCTCATTTCCCGCTCTTTGTCGCATTATCCAGTCTACTGCAATCAGGGAAATCATTGGAGGTAGTAGGCAGCCAGCTTGTCTTTCTCCCGTATTCACTTCGAAGGATTCCGTAAGTTTCCCGTTGAGGATTACTCGGCATGAAGCATTGTCATACAACTGTTGGATGAAATGTGTAATTGTCGGTGGCAGTCACTAGTGTTTTAAATTAACACTGAATTAAGTGTCACAAATATCTCTTACGACTGTAGGAACACTACCTTCCTCAGCTCGCATTGTCAGCCAATGTAGAACCGGACTAAAAGACCATTAGACCTGCTAATACCAAAAACACGGCTACATTCATGAGGTCTTTCACTATTCACTTTAGCCATTACTCTACGCCTTCCCTGAGTGTTAGTCTCAGTTGCTTAATTAGACAGTTTTCTAACACGGTCAACGAAACATCCAAGAGCTTGTCACCCAACGAATATAAAGAAGAAAATAGAAATGGGCTGAATGTATACTCGAGTATCAACCGAGTGACATCACATGCCAATCCGTCAACTGGAACGTGAACTGCAAGCGATAGGTTTATCATCCAGTATTAGCATGTAGGAAATCGTATGAAAAGGAAGAATGATAGCTTTCGGACGGTCATGGAGTAGATTTAAAGAGACGTTAGAAAATGGAGTACAATGGAGATGAGCCATCCTCTGAATTGAAGCCTTATGCCCTACGTGGAGCATACAGAATTATAATGTAGTTAGTTATAGTAATTGTTAGGCATAAATGAAACCCACCTTGAAATTAATGCATTGCTCTTTTTGTATATTTGATTTAAAAAACTTTAAAACTGGTTTAATATCTGTAGGCAGTTCATTGACTACTATTGTCCAATTAACACTTTCATCCTTTCCATTAACAGTTACTCTCATTCGACTCATTTCACTTTCAATGCATTTCTCTGCATCTCTCTGGCTTAATTCAATAAAATGATCTGCAGATATATTTAGTTGATAGTAGATTTCAGGATTGAAATGTCCATGATGAAATCTGTTTTGAATCATAGGTAGATTTATTTCCTCGACATGACAGCTGGTCTCTTCTTCCTCTTCTTCTCCTGCTTCGTTTATACTGGTAATTTTTTTGGACGGGGGGGGGGAGAGAGCAATAACATCTAAGATACTTTATATATGATACAGTATAGAAGTCAATACTAGCAGTACTTTATTTTATTATATTAAATGATTAATTTCAAAATTTTCCCTTTTTCCTATCTAACTTTCTGCGTAGTAGAATAGATTTGTAGCTCAGGTGGATGATTTTTATTCAACAACAAATTAAGCGAACAATATTGTTGTTTTCAGTTGGATCTCATCAGGCTTAACTCTAATATATATAAGTTTACAAATAAAAATTCAAATATAAACCAATCATGGTGTTTTGTCTATAGGATAATAAGATGGTGAATATAAATTGTGCAATTAGTCATAATAGTAGTATTGATAAAAATGGTCTTATCAATAATAAGGATGAAACAGTGAAGCAATCTGTGATAACACTGATAATGAAAAACAGCATTATTAAACAAACAACTGTTCAGGTGGAAGTAGTAGTCGATAAAGGCTAGTAAAAACAAATGAACCGATTAAGTGATGCTTGATTGTAAAGGAAGTAAATGAAACACGTTTATAATGAAGATGTGATAAGATTAAGAGATCATAAGAAAGGGGTTAAAAATACAAACAAGGGATGCTGTAGAAGTCATTAGTTGGTTATGTCTTAATAGGCCAATAAGGGAGGGATAATGGCTGTACGAACTTTTTTGAATACATAGTTTAGGTTCAATAGTTCGAATGCCTATCGCCTCAGCTATGTGCAGTAGACGAATACTAAGTCTATAGAGAAGATTCGGTGGGATACGATGAATTACTTTGAAAGCTCTCGTTTTCTCCACTACATGACCACTATCAATTAAATTTGACAAAATTGAGTTACGGATTGTCTTTGTCTGTCCTTTGCCAAACCACGATGGGAGATGTTCAATAGTGACACGTTGGCTAAGCTGTCTAGTAGTACGCCCAACATAACTGTCACCGCAGGTGCAGTTGAATTGATAAATGCACAAAAATGTGGCAAAACTACCAAGCTTATCCTTCGTTTGCTGTTTTTCATCAGTATTCGTGTTATCACAGATTGCCTCACTTTTTCATCCTTATTATTGATAAGACCATTATTATTATTACTAGTATTATCATTACTACTATTATGACTATTTGCACAAGTTATATTCACCATGTTATTATCCTATAGACAAAACACCATGATTGGTTTATATTTAAATTATCATTTGTAAACTTATGTAGGTATATTAGAGTTAAGCCTGATGAGATCTAATTGAAAACAACAATATTGTTCGCTTAAATGTGTTGTTCTAGATTTTGATTGAGTTGCATTCTCTGAGCTGGATGTTGATTTCATTATGGGGTGCAACTCTATTATTAATTAAATTTATTTGAATTCCCTACTAATCATATAATTTCATCTCTTGAGTTTATTGACTTGAATATTCCTACAATCTCATCAAAAATATTCGGAATTCGAATCAAACTAACGGTAAGAAAGCATCCTTGAATATCACACGAAAATTCATCCTGCTATTTATAAAGAATATGTTTGGGACCAAGTTAAACTTTAAGCACCACTAACCAACCAATCACTAAATGACCTGGAATGGTCCAATCAGGCTCGCGCACGTGAGTTCAAGGTTGTATTGCGCTTGATTCGTATCAAATGCCTTCTCCAACGCAATTGTGCTTGCAGTTTGGTGAGGATAAGACTTTCCAGTATTGCCTGGATTTGGAGTTGCTTAGGAAGGAGAGGATTTGTTCAACGGGGTGGTGTCATGAGTTTAAACCGCTTTAGCAGGTCGATTGATTGATGTATCCGTCATTGCGCAATTCGCTTGAAACGAGTTACTATTAGGGAAGGTAAGCTGATGATTTTAATATTTCGTTGGAACATTTTTTGCTAGGTCACATCTCTCCCTTACCCAGGTTTTGCATATTTGTAATTACTGGGTTTTAAAACAGTCTGTGAGAGGAGCTGCTGCTGCAACATGAAATGGCATCGTGTTGACATTTCAGTGGTACCAGCACTGCAGAGACATTGCTTCCAGGAAAATGGAAAGAATTACTTCGTTGTTAGGCGGAGAAGTTGTCATCATACACGTGGACGAAACTGTCTTATTGAAGAAAAAATACAACCGTGTTTGTCAGCGAGCCAACAATGTTTGGGTGATCGGTTTATATGACACTTCCCTACGGAAAGGATTAGTGGAGAGAATATCATACAGAAAGTCTACTACCTTAGTACATATTGTCACTCGACTGTTGAAACAGAGAACTATAGTGCATACTGATGAATGGAAAGGTTATAACTCGCTGTCATCTCTTGCATATATTCATCACAGAGTGAACCATTCTAGTGATTCCGTGGATCCAATTACAGGGACACACACGAATTCTATGGGAGGATTTTAGGAAAGATTAAAAAATAGGACAAGGGCTATAGATGGATCTCAAAAGGATCTCATTTATAGTCATTTGGATGACTATATGTACAGAATGTGGTGTCACTTTTCCTATGCTCAACTGTGAGATGTTTCTGTTGAATGTTAGAGAAAGATACCCTATGTAACAGTTTTATGCAGTTTTTATGCCTTTTTTTCATAGATATACGTTTTTCTTAATCAAAATTCCCTCTTTCATGTGATTGGTCCGCTGAAGGTCGTTCACTGATTGGTTGTTAGTGGTGCTTAAAGTTTAACTTTGCCCAAAATCAACAACACTTTATAAAGAAGTTTACTCTGAAGATTCTGCTTAGAAGGATGACGAAAGCTTCGCAATTAAATCATTATCCTGGAATATTTAGTTACTATCACTAATAGCTACACTAATTATGAGTGGTATATCTTAAAGACACATTTCTTATTTGCCTGTTCACTTGTTTATTATCATTTCGTTAGTCAAGGTAATGAATTAAGTGTCTCATATCCATAAAAATGATTGAATCAAAACGTTTAGGCTAATGTTTAAAGTCAAGACACAAGTTTAGGTTACAAACAGAATACTATTTTAGTAGTGTGGGTAAGTTGTGGTTAGATATAAGTGGAATATTGCCCACCCATCTGATTCGGTGCAGACATATGACCTATTTCACTCAATTATCACCTTTGAGACTACCCTGCAAATTGTTCACAAGATAATCTTAAGATGCATTTGGTCCAGTGGACATTCATTTATTGTATGACAATGATTATAGTTACGAAATAGGGTACAAAATTAATGTTGCATTTTCTAAATGTAGTAGGATGTCTAAGAAGTAGAATACATAACGCTGACAGTTAACAGATAAGTCCTGGGTGCCATTAGTTCTATGAAGTCAACTACGTATCTGAATACTTCGTCTTCTATCTTAATAGAGTTATTGATTTCATTTTTAGCCTTGAGAAGTTCGAAAGCAGATTTCTGAATTCTGACTACACTCTCTAGGAAATCCTGCATTTCTTCAAGCTGTACACCTGACGAAACTGTGTTAATCCTACAATCTACGTAGGGGTTTAAACATGTAAAAGAAGAAAAGATATTTTATTTGTATATAAGGGAGACCAATGTATTTGAATTATGCGGGAATTAACTAACTAGAATTACGAACCTGTTTGAAATACCAATAGGCAGTGACAATATTTCATATACCTCCTTATGAGCATATAACGGTAGTTTAGATTCCTTACACCTTACGACTTCTGCATTAGTTGTTCAACAGTAGAATACCAGCCAGGAACTCACGTTATCCTTGGCTCACTCACTGCTAAACCTCACCAAGCCAATAGTCATCTCAGTAGAGAAAGAAGGTTGGGTAAGCGGCTAACAACAGCATCCCTTAAAAACTCAATACTTGAAGGCCTATGACCTTGACCTGCACAAGAATAACAACAACAGACAACAATAAGCATAAATGGAAGGAACCTGAAAGAAACAACCTCTTTTACCTACCTGGGAAGCATCGTTTCAACTACAGGCGAGGATATCAAAGCAAGAATCAGGAAAGTAAGACAAGCTTTCACTACTCTCAAGTCTGTGTGGAGGTCAACAGCACTACTCAGCATTGAAAATAAGATCCGGATTTTCAACTCCAATGTGAAGTCAGTACTACTCACTATACGGATCAGAGACTTGGCCAGCGCGTCATAAAGAGCATCTCAAACAAACTACAGACGTTCATTAACAGTTGTCTTTGCTCAATACTCAAGATCAGATGGCCGGTCAGAAAAGATCAGCAACAGAGATCTCTGGCAATGAGCGAACCAACTGAGCAGGAACCGATTGTGAAACAAATAGGCAGGAAGAAATGGAGATGGATTGGCTGGTCATACTCTGAGGAAACAAACCATCAAGTGACATCACTAGACAAGCCATCACTCGAGTGGAACCCGAAGGGGAAGCGGCGAGTTGTTCGTCGGTTCAAGGGTGACTTGGAGGAGGTCATGTGAAGAGGAGATGAGAACGTGTGGGCAGACTTGGAGCCAGGTGAAAACTCTAGCAGAGAACCGAACGCAATGGAGACGCACGGCTGAAGCCCTATGTTCCTCTAGGAATTAAAGGAACCAACGATAATAATAATAATGAAGGCCTATGTTCCCTTCACAAAACGAAGAATATAAAGAAAATAAAGAAAATAATACACACTTAGGACTAGTCTATTTCTGGTAATTCTATAAGGCGAAGGAATCTGACTGCAACATATATATATATATACGTGAACATTCAAACGCCTAAATAAAAAAGACACTTACATATGCTTCAGTGAAGTTGGAGAGTGATCCTCTGCACAGCTACTCACTACATTAACAAGAAAAAAATACAGATTTTATGCCGTTAATATTCAAACAGATTTATGAGTAGTTTTAGGTTTAAAACAGCTCCAGTATCTTCATTAACGAGTTGATATCAGTTAGAGAACCATTAGGAAACCTTTCAAGACTTTGTCAGGATGCACGCACCGG